TATCAGAAGTTAATTCATGAGCACTTAGTGACTGGATTGTGCAAAGGCACATTATAAGGCATTAAATGCACACACAACACAGGCCTTCTATGGTGTTGCAGTTGCTGATATTATGGTGGCATTATACATTGTGTAGATTATCTGTTTAACAGGTTTATTAAAAGGGAGAAGAAAAATAGAGGAGATGGAAAGTAATTCTTGATGGGTGGCCGGGCTCGGGGAGGAGAGTCAGTGTTACTACAAAGCATGGATGCCTTTTTTCCCCCCCCATTTGTTAGCTGGTCCTACTTGTAGCTGGGGATTCCCTTGTCAGGTCAGCAACTTCCCTCTTCTGATTTTTAAGTCTTCAGTCATCCTGGAGCATCTATGCTGTCAAATGGGCATTCATCAGGTCTAAGCTCAAGTGGCAATAGGTAATGTCCTCCTAAACAGGTAACATTTTCTTTTTCAGAGCATTCTTTTGGAATCCTGAAAGCAGATTTTACCATCTCAACTCTGAAGGACCCAGCAGTGATGAAAGACCAATTTTTGAAAGAGGTGAGACTTCTGTCCTCTTCTGATTTTGATCAGGTGACTTCCCAAAGCAAAGTAGTATTATGAATACCAACACGTTTAGACAAAAAGCATTGGAAACCAAGCTCATTTTGTTCTGCCATTATTTTGGTTCATAGTGACAGGATGGTTATGTGGCCTCAGAATATTGTTCAAATTTTTCTTAGCTTGTTCAACATTTTTCTAGAGCTGTAGTTTTAACATTATTTCAAATAGAAGAGAATACTTGTTACTAACTTATCGTAGCTTCAGGAACTGGTAGTGAAGACAATGTAACAGATACCACCACACAGCAGTTACAGCTTGATGGGGCGAGTGGTGAAGTGAGAATCTACTGGAAATGTTAAAAAAAAAGCCTGCTCTCAGACCATAGTGACATTCTATTTCATTGTTCAGTGGTAAAGCTCAGGAGGCATCCTTACATATATGATTATTATTATTTTATTTACACACTGAATCCACTGCCCGTCAAGACGAGAGCGACTGAATCGTTTGCTTTATTCTCCTTTGTCATTAATTTTTTTTGTAGAGCTGACAAAATTGACTTATGTACATCCCTATTGGTGCAGGCAGCTGGAACAAGGCTAAGACAAATAAATAGGTGGACATAAAGGGTGTTCATGTGGGTAATTTAGAGCTAAGGGAAGCTAAAGGAAGCAGTAAGACAACATCAGTAGCTTATCTTTGTTTGTTTTGGTGGTGCCAGGTGAGGACTGACCCTAGCACTTTACACTCCATTACTGAGCTATACCCTCAGCCCTATTTATCTTTTTGTGTTTCAGATCCAAGAAGCCTTAAAGCTTATATTAGGTCATGAACGATTCAGATTGAAATGGATTGACTTTGAAGTGAACAAAAAATAGCCTGTCTACTGATTTTGCTTCCTTGTAAAGCATTCTTCTCTGGAATTTTAGTTTTAGTTTTTAGTTCCTAGAAGGATGGGATTAAATGACAACAGGAACTATGCCACGAGGCACAGACTCAACTAGGACAAAAGAAAGCTACGTATGGAACCTGCATCTTTAGGTTTTATTGAATGAAATAGGTAAAGGGAAGAAGATGATGGTGAGATCATATGCTGAATACAGTAGTGACTTTAGTCTGAAATGTTTAAAGTTAAAGTTTATTTGTACTCTTTGTAGGAATATCAATAAAAGACCTCAAGCGTATCTATATCTGTACATGTACAAGAACCGTCAAAAATTATTCACAGAACAAAAATAAATCTTCTTTAGGACAAACCCAAGTAATGAAATGCAGATATGGATCTCATGTACGGAACAATCTAAGTGTGACTTAGCACAAAAATATGGCTTTAAAAATAAAATAAAATCTTGGGTTTAGTTTTTCTAAGATGTATTTTTCTTGAAATAAAAAATAAATTATTTCGAGCTATCACTGTAAAATAGACATGTGTATTAACACATTCTTATTAAGGCCCTGGGGATGAAAAACAAAAGCAAATTTAGAAAGTAAATTCCTCACAGGTGTGATCCTGTGCTGCTGTCCACTTGAGTTGATATTAATATAGCTAAGAAATGTCTAAGCACCAGTCAAAATCTAACCTTTACTATTTATTTTAGCTCTTCAGAATAGGGATAGTTGAATCAGAATTGAAATATTTCCCTTGGGAATTTGGAAATGATGTACATATGAGTTTGGAGATGATGTACATATGTACATATACATAAATATTTGTACCCCACACAGAGGATAGAGGCCCCCAAAACACAGCTTCTATGGAAATCTCACTGCACCATCAGAGAAATCTGGTTTTAAGTCCCAAATTAAAAAAATTCCTAGGGAATAATGAAGGCATTTGAATGAAAATATAACAGCTGAGCCCCAAATACCACTTTCCTTGGGTGGCTCAATGCATGTGCCAAGGCTATCTGGGTTTGTAACTCAAACACCTGAGGATTAACTGAACAGAAACCAAAGCTACTTCTTTCTCCATTCTATTTAGAATAGTGAGGTTCACTTTTCTTTGACTCCCCATGCTATCATTAATGATATTTAGGTTTTGGAGATCATGTTAAACCAAATCAAGTTCAAGTCACTTTAACTTATATATACATACATCACATATAGTACATTTTAAAGTGGTTCATAAAATTGAGTAAAATGAACAACAAATCTAAAAAGTTAATAAAAAGTTTGAGAATCACTGTTTTGTAAAATGGATCAGCATTCAGAAAAAGGAAAACCTAGGAATTATGTGTTTTCTGTGTCTATGCACATGATATTTATAGGGACTGTCTTTTTGTATATTTAACCTATGCATTTCAAGAGTGGGCAGGGGATATGAATCTTGCTGTTTAACTTCTGAGCTACTGAGAAAATGGCAATTCATTAGTACCCATCTAGATCATATCCTTATATTTATTTTCCATGCAAATTTCATTACTTTGGTCTTCAAAGCTCAAATGCACTCAGAGTAGGGTTGTGAAAACACAAGAATACCTATGGAACTAACAGAAATCATTCAAACACACACACACACACACACACACACAAATATACACAATCTATTTAAAAATTCAATACCCAACATCTCTTGCTTTTAAGAAAGTAGTTTAGGTCCTTTCAACTGATACACTGGTAGAAAAATAAAGCATCCCAGGGAAGGGGTGGGAGACAGCTATTTATTGCTAGAGCAAGCAGAGAATTTCATTACTAGACTTGAAAAAAGGAAAGGGGAAGGAGAAGAAAACCCTTTTGGATTTCCACAATCTGGAGAACACGAAAATTCAGTGAGGCCAGAGGAATGGTTTGGTAGCTGCTGTGTCCGACCAGGGACAATTTATCTAATGTAGGCCTAGACCCAATGGAGCAGGACTGATGAGACTGGGGCCATTCTGAGAAGGGCTGCCTCCTCACCTCAGTCCTGTAACTAGCCTTCTCAGCAACTTCCAGAACTGAGATAACTAGACTAAATCAGAATGGAAGCAAAACAAAAACACTGCAAACTTGCTTGTTTGGCAGTGGTCTTCCTCTGGGATTTCCAAATAAGAACTCTGCTCCCAATCTGGCATGCCTCTGAGGGCATAGTAAAAGTCCAGGGTCTCTAGGACCTGGCTGTACCTACCCACAGCAAGATCTGAAATGTTTTACTTCTAAAGTCAAATGCTTACAGCAGTTAACAGAAAATCTGACTACTTCTTTAATAACTCCACCACAGAGAAAGGTAGAAGCAGACCAGTGTGAAAGCTAATTCTGACCAACTTGATATCAAATGAAAAAAGCAAAAGTATAGCACATGATTACCCAATTTTGCCACATTGTCTTTAGCAAGGTAAAGATGTACTGAATCACTACCTTGGTGGCAATGTATGGACAGTGCTTGCTATAGTTACTCAGTTGTAAGTGCCCATCTGTTATGGCTTTTACTGCACAGACTCAAGGGATAATGATGGCTTGGTGGAGATATAGGTTTTTTGGCTTTGGCTTGGATAGTTTATTGCTTCAGCAATGTAGCTCTTTTCCTGAATCCTACTAATATTGTTCTTGTTGGTAGGAAAGCCTAGTTACCACCCAGATTTAAGTATATAACCAGAATGACAAATTTCATTCACTCTAGCTCTTTCCTCACCTTACCGTATGATGGTATATTGAGAGAAACAGAGAGTATAAACTACCATTATCTTAATCTATTAGCTTCTCTTCAACCATGTAGTCCAAAAAAGTTTGCTTGGCCTGAAAAAAAGTCATTATATACCACCTTCATACAATTATCACTTGTTTCTACCTTTTTCTTACTTAAAATTTCTCAAGCTAAATTCGATTGCACCATTCTCTAAGGAAATACTCAGTAAAGAATTTGAGGTGATGATCAAGAAATATTATATTTATAAACTGTTAAAGTGGCAACTTCTTTGTACATCTACTTAACAGTTTGAATAGGAGTAATCTCAAAAGAAAATCTAAACTTTGAAAGCAGGGAACAACCTTGAACTTTCATCTAACTTTATTATTATTTTACCTGTTTGCTCTTTGTGCAAGAAAACCTGGTGGTACAGAGCCTCAATATCAGTTCAAATGTTTTGGGGTTTTAATCTTCCAGCATAGACTGGCATCTAAAGAGATTCCCACAATACAAACAAAATATATTGCATTTATCAAAGCATACTTGGTTTTCTTCCATCTTGTCCAAACCGCTAATATAATTTTTTAATCAGTTTTTTGCAATCAACAACCTCAAAAGACACTATTTTACGTAGTTAAGGGTGATTCTCTCACCAGGTTTTCTGTGGCTCAACTGTTGTTTTTATTTTTAATTTTTTTATTAAAAAAATTTTTTTTGGTACTGGGGCTTGAACTCAGGACCTGGGTGCTGTTCCTCAGCCTTTTTTGCTCTACCACTCGAGCCACGGCTCCACTTCCAGCTTTTTGGTGGTTCACTGAAGGTAAGAGTCTCATGGATTTTCCTCTCCATGCTAGCTAGCTTCGAACCTCAATCTCAGATCTCAGCCTCCTGGGTAGCTAGGATTATATGTGTGAGCCACTGGTGCCTGGTCAACTGAAGAATTTTTGAAGAGTGAATTAAACACTGCTAGAGCTGAAAGCAAGCCACCAACAAGAACACATCTATTCATATACTCCCTCAATACAACCTATTACTTCAGAATTAGTGATCTTTTTTTTTTCTATTAAGTGATTCTGACCATATAAGGATGAGGTAAGAAATTATAAGATAACTGTTAAGGGTCAAGAAAATACTCAAATGCTGAAATGCCTAGGCATGAAGCCTTTAGTTCTAACAAAAGCTCTTACTTTAGAACTCTATCTAGCACAAATTGGTCTTTAAAAACCATTTTAAAATGTTGTGGGGGATGTTATGGGGAGGTTGGTGAAATGTAACAAACACAAAGACCCCCTGAGAGAGAGCAGAGCTTAAAGAGTTGGAATATAAGCCTGGGACTTGGTAAAGAGGAAGGCTGGTAGAGGTGTCTGCCTTGGTAAAGAGGTATCTACCTGGGCTTTACACAAAAGAAGGTACTATTCATGTTCTCCTGTTTCCTTATAAATATTTGGTTATGTAGAAATACTCACTCCATATATATGGCTCCTTCAGGTCTTCCCCCCTCCCCTTCTTTTCCTTTATAAAAAACTGTAATTTAAAATAAATATTGACTTAATTTGAGAAACACTGTTGCTTTCTCATTATAAAACTGCTCAGATCTTGCTAAAAGAGATTCAAGACCCTTTTAACAGTGTGTCTGTATACCAGGCAACATAGAAAGCACGAACATTTCTTATTTGTGCAATAATATGTACATATGTGTAAATGTATGTATATATTTGTACATATGTGTGTTTAACAGGTAACTTTCCATACACAAGGTTGCATGCCAGATGACATTTTACATCTCTGGAAAGAAAAGGGACTGCCTTTCTCATGACTTGTTTGTTCCTTAAAAGCCATGGATAACAAATGTTTAAACTAGGTCAATATGGCCAAACCTAAGAGTGTGAGAATAGCAATTGGAATGTGACAGCCTGATGCTTCAGTTTTGGATTTTCTTTCCAACTCTTACTAAAGAGAAAGAGGAAGAAGAAGAAATTCAAAAGTTAAAGACAGTGACAAAATTACCCTGCCCATACATTTGCTAGTAAAAACGGATATAATTTTTATCCCAAACAATATCATACTTTCAAAAAATTTAGTAGGAAATATTCAGAGATTCCTGCTATGTTGTGGTTAGCCCTTTTCTGTGTGGAAGAAAGGGTGTTGATTTCAGATGGCTTATGAACAGCGTATCTGAATAACTTCTCCAGGGGAGAAGAAACCCTGTTGGTGCAGAAGACTCCCACCAGGGGGAGGAAAGGGCAGTGGACACACGAAGATGAAGATGGTTTGTAGACACATAAATGTTTATACTGTATCAACTTGAAAGAGGAAAAAGAATACCCTTTATTACAATAGGAGTAAAAATAAAAAAGCTCATATCTAAAACAGAAAATTCCCATCTGCTGTAGACAGAGGAAATAAACATATTGACAGGAGAGATCACTCCCAAAGTCCAGTTTTATCTGTGTCCTATAAAACAGTAAATCTCCAAGTCAGATTAGCTGTCTGATCAGAATCAGTGTAGACTGATCAGTGGATAAATTATTGTTGTTAAGTGGATCTCGGTTTGCATGGTTTCCTAAAGGACAAGGGGACTAGAGAGGGCTTTTAAACTGGTGGATGAATCCCTGAAACAACTCATGTCCTATTGCACTCTATGTGCTTCTTCTATCACATAGATACTTGGTCTCTACCTACTGAACCAATAGGTTCACCTCTCACTCACACAGAGTTCCTACATTTCCTCCACTAACAACTGCAGTGCTTTCAACAAGAGGAAAACAATAATAAAAATAGTAATAATTAAAAAGGTAATCTACATTATTAACTTCCTTTTGGTATATTACAGTGGTATTTTCTGTACATGGCCCAGAACTAAGTTCCCTATGTACATAGAGACGCGGGGGAAAGCATTGACCTTGGAAGTCTTCGCTTTATGCCCTGAAAGACAGGTTCCTTTCTTCATTTAAGAGTTTCTCACTACATTGCCATTTTGAAGTAGCAACATTCTGTAAACCTGGAGGGACTGGGTGAAGGGATGGGACTAGGAGCGTGGGTCAGTTTCCTTCTGTCTCCTTCCACAGTCTGTATTCAAGCCTGTCAGCAGCTGCTGTTTTTGAATTCACCATTCTCCGTGATGGAAAGCTTGGTGGGGTTGGTGGGGGAGATACCATTGCGGACCTGCATGCTGTACCGCTCCTTCACTTGGGTCAGCGCACTCATCAGTCTCGTGTTGGCGGAATCCAGGGACACGATCCGCTTTTCCTACAAACACACCAATTATGGCTTTATTCAGGCTGTTCACAGGAAATGACATCCTTTCTTTATTGAATGACTAACCCAATATTTTCTCTCACACAGTAGTATGCATGGTGCTTCCCAAACAAATGGAACGTCTCTGCCTCTTTCTGCACACTGGTTAGGTTAGGTTCAGCTTTCTCTCTTCCCTTGTATTTTTTTCTCTTGTTTCCTTTTGGCACAGTAGGAATTGTTATCAATAATCTCTTGGGATATTAGGCTATCTTGTACAAGAAAATGACACCAATGTTACTTCAGACTTTACAACAGAGGTGTCATGCTGCCTATTATATGAAGTGCTTTCCCCCCCTCTGTATTAAAAGCATGGAACTTAGGTGGCAAAGAAAGAAGCACCAGAGGTTTCATTTCACAGAAGAGAGTGCATGTGATCTATGGATTCTTATCCTCAAAGGAGGGCATAACAGTCACATTGTGCTCAACATTAAAAACAATACATGGTGGCCGTTTAAAATCACCAACCAGGTGAGGATGCAAGAGCAAGAGGAGATAAGAGCAGCCAGAAGCTCAGACCAAGGAGTTATTTGAATATGGGAGGGAGGTGTGGCCAAAAGGGATGCTATAAACATAACACATGAGAACAAACAGAACACAGGCTCCTAGACCCATTCCAGCTCAGAGTTACTCCAGGAAAGCTGTCTGATAAGGAAAATATTTTCATTTTGACATTTGAGTCTTTGAAAAAAATGCTTTAGAATGCTTTTGGAACTAGGGGTTGTTGTGTGTGCACATACACACAGACACACATGTGTGCATGTGCATGTGCATTCCTTCCTCTTTCCCAGTGGAAAAAGGGCAAAAAAACCAAAGTAATTTAAAGGAAAGACCAAAATTATTACCAGTTCCACAGAGCCTAGGAGAAATCTTTATTTTGGCTTTAGCAGCTAGGTAAATTATTTCAGAAATTTTCCAACATGAAGTCGTGTGTGTGGGGGGGGGGGGAAGGGGGGGTATGCATGTTGGTAATCAGGGCCTAGAGTTGTTCCTTAGCAGTTTTGCTCAAGAATGGAGCTCTACCACGCAAGCCACAGCTCTCCTTCTGGCTTTTGTGTGGTTAATTGGAATTAAGAGACTCACAGACTTTCTTGCCCAAGCTGCCTTGGAAATGTGATCCTCAGATCTCGGCCTCCTGAGTAGCTAAGACAATAGGCATGAGCTACCAGTGCACAGCCCATGAAGCCAACATTTAACAGAAAATAAGTTTTCATAGAGAAAAACATTCTTTACCTATGTTCATGAAACTGAAAATACCCTATGATAAATAACCCTAAGGTAAAAAAGAAGCTTTTCTCCCTGTAAGTTTCCTTCCAGGCAAAAACATGATAAGGTTAGTCGTGGGAAAGGCAGAGAGGGGATGGGAGGGATAGGGGTTGATGCTGCTCCTTGCTGTTAAAGCAGAAGCTACACAAGGCAATGAATATAGCTCTGCTCCACTGAGACATGATGTCAGGGCTGAGCAGAGTGATGACCACTACCCTAGAGAAAAATCAGGGTAAACCATAGCATCAAGTAATGTTTCCCTTTGACTTCACTGGGTTGGGAGGCTATCTATATTGAAGCAGGGCTGGTGGCTACAGTTTCAAAAGTACGAAAAAAGCTGGCCACCGGTGGCTCATGACTATAATCCTAGCTACTCAGGAGGCTGAGATCTGAGGGTTGTGGTTCGAAAGCCAGCCTGGGCAGGAAAGTCTGTGAGGAAACTGGAAGTGGTGCTGTGGTTCATGCTCACCTTGAGCTGAAGAGCTGAGGGACAGCACCCAGGCCCAGAGTTCTAGTCCCATGACTGACAAAAACAAAACAAAACAAAAAAAACAACAAGCAAAAACCATCTCCCATTTCCTATTATTCCTTTAAAAAAAGTCCTTTCCCTGGAAAATTCATGTGGTGAAATACACAAAACCAGCCTCATTAACTAACCTCTATTTTTTTTTTTTGAACTTGGGTTTTAATTCAGAGCCTTGCCTGTACTAGGCAGGGTATTCTACCCCTTGAACCATGCCTCCAGTCCTTTTTATTTAAGGTATTTCATTATTACTATTGCATCTATTTTTTGTGTCAGTACTAAGGCTTGAACTCAGGGCCCTGTGATATCATTTGGCTTTTTTGCTCATGACTGTCATACTACAACTTGAAAACAAGTATAGATTTTTTTTTTTGGTGGTAGTACTGGGATTTGAACTTAGGGCCTTGCTTGTGCTAGGCTGGCACTTACTTCTGAGCCACACTTCTACATGTATGTATATATGTAGAAGCTATCATTGGTTATTATTAGGATAGGGTCTTGATTCACATACGTTGCAACCCACCTACTTTAGGCTTTTTGTTGTGACTGGGAAGACTGATTGATGCCTGCCACTATGTTCAGCTTCTCTCAACAGACAAGGAGACTCATAGACTTTTTGGCTTGGGCTGGCCTGGAAATGCAATACTCCTGATCTTATCTTCCCAAATAGCTAGGATTATAGGTGTGAACCACTCACCCAGATAGATCTTTTAAATGCTAATAGGTGGATGGCAGGGGAAAAACAAAGGGGGGGGTAGCAATGTCTGATAGGAAATATACTCATTACTAATGTAACTGTAACCCCTCGTACAGTATCTTTATAATAAAAAATTATAAAAAAAAGCCAATAGGTTACAAAAAAAATAAGAGGTAGGTGGTTATCAGAAAATAAGTAGGTGTCAAATATTATGCTTTTCTTTATAGTTAGGAATGACTTCTAAACAGAGTAACTAGTAATCTTTAAATTTAAATTATATATATTTGGTTTTGAACATTTTTTGTACAATAAGTGAAAAATTATACTAGTAAAACTGGTAACTTCTTGAAATGATACTTCAATATTTATGTAAGTTGTAAGACCCAAGACTTAAGGAAATTAGGATTTTCCAGGATTTAATCCCCCTCAAATCAAGCACCCATTAAAAAAAAATCTAATTTAATCTTCCAGGTAGAGAAACTCCCTTTGTAGTTTGCTCTATTATCAACCTCTTAAATCAAAAGGCACCGATTACTATTATTTTTTCAAAGTTACTCTGAACGTTGTTTGACTGGTAAAAGTTGCTCTCTGACATTTTTTGATTCTGTGTGGACTGACAACAAGCAATCTAATTCATGCCTGACAGGAAGGATTTCAATAAGGGGAGTGGCAGGAGCTGGAATGTGTAGGAGGCAAGTGTACTAGGCCAGGGCTGGGAACTGCTCAGCTAGAGAACGGACAGGGTTTACTTGCCTGTTTGAATAATTTCATTTCCATTTATGACCTGTAATTTAACACAGTGGAGATATCACTTGCGATAATAACTAGGCAGCTCTTTGCTTCTGATAGGAGGAAACCCTTTTCTGTCCTCCATTTGAGTTACATGGAGAGATCCTGGGAGTCACTGTCTCTCTTATGCTTGGAGGTAAAAGATGGCTCATTCCCTGATCTTGTATTTGAAAAACTGCCCTCCAGTACCATCATTAGGGTTCCTATATAGGCACTACAAGGTCCAGGACTGGTGGTTCTGCCATTCAACCCTGGAGCGCATACCTATTTGCAGTTCTAGCTTAGGCTGATGTAGGTCTGTGCCTGGCAGCACAAACATACTCCAGGTGGGTGGGAGCCTTTTTTCTGGGAGCACAGGGCTGCTAAGAGATGAAAACCATTCATAGGCACCCAGTGTTACTATTTTGAAAAGTCACAGTACTAGATTTAACTCTAACACACAGAAAGCAACTGTATTCATTTCAGTTTTCTTTTCTGTCATAGGTACCAAGGCATATAGGATAATCATTTATCTATGGTAGAGCAAGATGGCCTTGTCTCTGTTACCCTTCACTCACTCAATCATCCTGGGGACACCTAGAAAGGTTTTGTGTGTGTGTGTGTGAGTGTGTGTGTGTGAACTGTGCTGATGCAAGAGCTTCCAAGTCTAGTGATCTTGCATGAATACCAGACCCATGCATCATTTTCCTCATGGCTATATTCTCAGCCTGATTCCCAATTCTGTTGAAAAATAACTCCATCCAACATTGATCCTTTAAGTCAACTAGATTGTTACATGCATGCTTAAGAATACTGGGGACTCCAACAAATACTGACTACTGACTGATGTGTAGGGAAAGAAGGAAACCGTTTGTCAGGTCCTTGCTCTATCTTTTATTTCACAACTTAAGGGTGAGAAATGCAAACTAGGTAGTTGTGTTCAGAGACATGATACATCCAGTGGTTAGGTAAGCCACTGTTGTAACTACACTTGCCTTCTGCTATTTTTTTCACTTTAGGAAATAAAACACTATTTTGAGTTGGTAAAGGAAAAGGTGTGAGAAGCAGCTACTGCCTCCTGGGCAGCCATCACCTCACTGGTGACACCGGTGTAAGTGCTCATAAACAGAGGTCCAGGTTCTGATTTCATCACCCTTTCCTTACCAAGTTTTATCTGAGGAGGCTCTCTAAGCACAGCATCAACAAAGAAGGGTGGCCAAGCACATTCCAAGCAGCAATGCCAAACCCTGACCGAAAAGAATAACAAGGAAAGGTATCTTCTATAGCATTCTTTCCCCTGAAATTCCTCTTCTGTCTGGGGTTACAAGTTGATGGCAGTGAACGTGACTGACAAGACCATGATCAGTAGTACAGCCAGGCAATGGTCAGTGGAGGTCACAAGCCAGACACATGCAGTGCACGTCTCAGTTATCCCCTTAGAGACTGTTCTCCTTTCCATAAGGAAAGACGTAAACTCTATCATGCACTTGTCAAACAACTGTACTAAATATGCTAATACTTTGCTAGGTTAACAGAATTGTCAGTAAAAGAAAGAAAAATAACAGAAACCATGTAGAAGCTCATTTGTAAAAAAGAGCAGTTTCAGTTTCTAGTGCCTGTCTTGCCATTTGCAAAGATGGAAACTCAGAAATAAACCATTATGATGATTTTACTAGATCTAGTGCTTGCTTACCTGTGCATCAATGATTTTCTGTTTTGCATCAATAACTGCTTGCATTTCTGCATGATCCTTCTTCAATTCCTCTTCCACAGCCATTAGCCTGGAGTGTGGTAGGAGTATATCAACATTTTCAAAGACAGGGTTAGGATATGTGGAGAACAAGAAACTTAAAACTCATAATTCAAGATTTCTACTCTTTCCCAGTGAACTATCTTTCCTTTATCCCATCTTGGAGAAAAACATTGAAGGTTGATTTCTATAACTGTTACTGGGTTCCATGAATTTAATGTTCTTTGGAGCAGTATTCCAATGATCATTTCCTCCCTCCCTAAGAGATCCTTCTCTCAGTAAACTTATGTCATCTTAAAATATTAAACCAACCACCAAAACCCCCCAAACCATCCTCCCCATCCTCTCCTCAATGTCAAGTTATATGGTATCCACTGTCCTATCTCTTTCAGTATTATGGACAATTGCCTCTACTAAAATAACACACTATTTCTATCTTCTATTACATGAGTATAAACTTTGGGGCCTGGTTGCAAGGACTCCAATCCTAATGCACTACTATGTGATGATGGATAAGAGAATTGATGAATCTATTTCATTTTGTTGTTTTTTTTTGTCTGTAAAATAAGAATGATAATGATGCCTGTCTCAAAGGTTGAGATCAAGTGCTTAGAAAAGTGCTTGGCCCACAGTGAATGCTATATAAATAGTAAACCTGACATCACCCTTATTCTCCCTTGTTTGGAATCATTCTCTATTGTTCCTAAATATATCTGGTGAGATTCCTTTCAGTGTTTTTGGACTTGTTTTGAAAAAACTGAGCCTTGGATATGGATTCTTAGAACTTTTAAACTTAGTTCTCTTTCTAAAACTTCAAAGGAGAGCTTCTAGAGCTTCTTCCTTTTTTCTAATTGTTCTGGGTAAAGAAAAATAGGAAGTATACTAGGTCTCATATTTTAGGATGCTTGAAGAGAGGGTCTTCACACCTGTAGTGAATCTACGGAGTATGTATGAGTGAAGATGGCTTTTGTGCCCATTCCGTTCAGAATGTTTGATCATCTTCCCATGACAAGGAGAGGGAGACCCCTGCTACAAGGTGGTCCGCTAACCTGCTGATGATGCTTTTCATCTGGCTGTCCTTCTCTTCCTGTTGCCTGCGCAGCCTCTCTTCACTGTCCTCTAGCCTGGCCTTGTATTCCAGTAGCAGCTTCTGCATCTGCTGTTCTTGTACAAGCAACCGGCGCTCATATTCCTCCAGCCGTCGACTGGATACCCTCAGGCGTTCCTTCAGTTTACTAATTTCTTGTTCATACTACAACAAAGGAAAAGAAGCACAAATGACAGGAAGAATTACATTCATTTTAAAATTGGTGATTTACTTGACAAAAAGCAATGCAGCTGAGCCACCATTTCTGTGCTGTTGCTTGTGTTATTTAAAATTATCAACTGGCATAAATGAAGCTTTGGCCTCCTTCTAAAGTCACATTTTAAAATCTTAACTTGGCATTCCAATTCTACAGATTTATATACTTCGCTCTACATTAAATTATCAGTTGCTGCAAGCCACATCCAATCTGTGATAGTGTCAGATTGTGTCATGGAAGAAAAAAAATAAAAAAAGATCAAGCACTTAGAAGTCTGATAAATGACTTGAGTGAAAAGCCAGCTGTCTACGAGAAGAAATTTATGCATGATCACCTGTACTGTGGGATTCCTGACATATCTTGGCTCATCAGACTGCCATTCTTTCCTTCTACTAGAATAAGTCCTTCCGAGAACAAGCAACGTTTCTGTATTGCTAAGCCACTAAATCAGTAATCGAATCTCATGGCAAAGTAGGCTATTACTGTTCTGTAACTACAACGAGTAACATATTCAGGCCACAAGCATTAAGCAAAGGTCCATATTTTTTTTAGTGCTGATTAATGCTACTTCTCGGTTAATTTGCAGGACATAGCTCATCTGCTCAATATTCTATACTTGCTATACTATATGTATGTATTCTCACTGAGAAGCCTTATAAAAACTCAGTAATTCAATTGGTCAGTAATTTAATTGGTTGTGTGGCCCTTTTACTGAGGTTACTGTGGATGGGGTGTTACAATGGCATGTAAAATTTTCTAGGTAAGGTGAGAAGCATAAGTTACATTCATTAGTTGATAATAATAATTCTGTATGGCACTTTGTAAAATACAATATTATCTCATTCAATTGATAATCAAACTACTAGTTGTTTACCAATATCATAGTTATAAATTATACTTGTTAACCTAGAAAGTGAAAGATGAGTTTTTATGGCAGTTCTGAAGCACTAGAGTAAAAAGTTTAGGATTATATTAATAAGAAGTTAATTGTCTTGTTCTCAATTAAATGTACCAATGCTATATGTTATCCTAAGGAAATTTTGACCTGGTTGATTATAAATAATTGATATATAGAAATATTAAGTATTTACCTATAAACAAATGATTTATATAAGTACCAATTATTTACTTAAAATGACTAGACATGAATGAAATCAAGATTTAAGCCAATATGTATAAAGTTATGATATACTCCCCCTGTAGTATGATGGGCATTTTCCATATATGATCATATAGAAATACTACTGACTCATTAGACATAGACATGACAGGCAGCATAAAAAGTACAGTAGAGGTAGAAATGAGGCAGGGCAGATTGTATTCTTGGCTTGATACCCTTTTAGTGCTTTATCAGTTGTGAGGGCAGTGTGTCAATAAAAAGACTAAATTCTACCTTCTCAGCATGCTTAGCTTCATCTGGATTTTGCTCAGATTCTTCCACATCCTCTTCATATTGTCCGTTGTTCAGAACCCAGGCTGCCGTCCTTTCTACTGGGGACATTGTGGCAGAGTCCACAGGTGACTGAACCTATGTCAGAAACAATTGTTAGCATTTCCCAAAGCAGGTCACTCATTCATTATGCTTCATAAGCACAGCTATTCTAAGAAGATGTAACTATGTTTCCTAAAAATGCTTTCAGTTGTAAGTAATATTTTATCAATGTCAGGTTACATCAATACATACATATCTAAGAGAACTAGTATTTTCCCTACTAAGGAAAGCTAAGGGCTTAAAAATTTTTAAATTTCTCAGTGTTGTAAATGTTTTTAGATGCCTACTTATCTATTGAAATAAGATGATGACAGAATGAAAGAAAAAATAGTAACTTGGTGGTTGATTGTACAGATGAGAAAGTGTCCGCTGAACCCAGAGATAATCATGAACCAAATGAACAAATTAATGCTAAACAAACCCATAATGCGTGACCACTTAAGTATTAGAATAGCTGATATTTAGTTTTTATAGTAACCATTCAGAGAAAGAGTAGGACAAATGGTTTTTACAGAACACTGACTTCTTAATGAAGACCACTCACAAATCCATGCTTAGCCAAGAAAGTTTCTTGGTGAATATAGAATCAAAATGATGGATCCTGGGTAGTGCAAGGCCCCTTTCTAATTGCCCATTTCTAATATAGATATATATTATTTACCTTACTTGTGTAACTGTAAATACTGTATATATATATATATATATATATATATATATATATATATAAGATAGATATACAGAATGTCAAGAGTCCTGGCATGAAGCTGAGAGAGCAAGGGGAAGGGTGACACTGTCCAAAAAAGAAATGTTCCCAAGGGAAGGGGTGATGCTTTCCAAAAAGAAATGTGGTCGTTACATGACATATGTAACTATCACTCCTCTGCACATCACCTTTATAATAACAATGCAAATTAAAAAAAAGAACAGCAACCAAAGCAACTTAGAGTAATCTAGTCCTTAATTACTGAGTGAGAAGATGCAAAAACAAGATTTGGTTTATTTCACTGGGTGATTTTGCTAGTTGCCACATCTTCATGAGAACTAATATTATCCAATGAATTATGAGAAGCTGTACAAGGGGAACTGGCATCTCAAGTGTATATCTGTTTTACTGTCTGAATGTTATTCTTAGTCATTTCCTAAAATATCTTGAGTACTCTGCCTGGAACACAGTAGGGAGTCAAAATAAGATAACAAAATTTAACAAAATAAGATAAAATTTAACAAAAAAATTCAAAATCTTTACTTCTTTCAACTCATGATAAAGCCTTCAAAAGACTAGAGAGATAAATCACAAGTAGGTACTATGCTAAACTGAAAGAAAAAAGAGGCAAATTTTAGTTATGAAAAAAATCCATATATATAAGATGATTTCTTTGTTGCTTTGCATGTCCCTCCCCCATGGTATAACCCCTCCTTTCACTGTATTTGATGTCAGTATAATTTGTGGAGAGGAAGGAAAAAAACAAATTGCAACAGTGAGATGTACAAGTCGTTATGTCAAAAACAAACTTTACAACTTTGGTGGGGGGGTGGGGAGGATTGGGTGGAGGGGACGGGGTGGGAGGATGGGAAGGGATGGGAAGGGGAAACAAAGGAGGAGGCTACAATGCTTGATAAGAAATGTACTCATTATCTTGCCCATCTAATTGTAACCCCTCTGTACAGTATTTTTACAATAAAAAATAAATAAAAATTAAAAATAACAAACAACAAAAAAAGAAATGTACTCATTATCTTGCCCATGTAATTGTAACCCCTCTGTACAGTATTTTCACAATAAAAAAATCCATAAATATGTATGTATTTGTGTGCCAGTACTGGCGCCAGAACTTAGGCCTGGGAGCTGTCCCTTAGCTTTTTGCTCAAGGTTGGCACTCTGCCACTTGTGCCACAGCTCTGTTTCTGGCTTTTTTTTTGGTGATTAATTGGAGATAAAGAGTCTCACAGGCTAGCTTTAAACCACAGTTCTCAGATATCAGCCTCCTGGGTATCCAGGAGGCTGTATATTTTTTTCTTTTGGTTTTACATGTGCTAGCCTTATTTCCCAATTAGATTATTATTTCAATAGTTTTGAATGTGATTACTACAGTGCACCAAAAATACAACAAAATATTTACTATATCTGGGTTCTTTTTAAAATCCATGACTAAAGTAGAATTTATCATTAAAGATTGCCTCTCTTCTAGTCCTTTCACAGCAGCAAAGCCTTTTCTTCAATGACTATTCCATCTCCTTTAAAAGCTGGATACATAGCAAAAATTATCTCCAAAAAATTATCTCCAGTTTCTACTGAAAGAAATTGAGGAAAGAGGATGGTAAGTGGTTTGGATTCCATTTTGCTTAACTACAGCCTTTGGAAGAGAATTTATATCCTTTGGCTTTCAAAAGGATAATTATAGAAAACAGAGGATAAAAAAGCAAAGAATTTCTATCAGGATAGTTCCTTTTGAAATAAAGCTGCAAAGGGTTTCCCTGGGAACAGTAATGATAAAGGGCCTGACACAGCATTTTCACTGATAGTACAATTAGTAATATGCTGGGGCAACAGAGCACAGACCAATAGGGCTAATATTCACAAGGTATAAACAAGACTTGTTAGTTTCAGTTACTTCATAGCTTGAAATAGTAGGTTCTAATACATGCATAACACTTCTGGTATCAGAGGCTGATTAAATTAGTCATGAAATGCTACGCGTTCTTGAGTTTTTTCAGAAGAGGGTTCAATAAATCCAAATGTGAAAACTGCACCATCATACTGATGGCCTTGTCAAATGCTTACTTTGTTATTTTTAAGGTTGTATTTTTATTATCTTGAGGTAGTTGTACAAAAGAGTTGCCATTCAAAAAAGCAGTTTATGATTACAATGCATCTTGACTAATGTTACTCCTTTCATGATTCTACCCCATTTCTCCCAACCCATCCTGCTCAATTTTCTTAATTTTGTAGGCCATGCATTGAATTTTACGACTGCATTCTCACCCTCCTTCCTTTCTTCATTTGTCTATCCCTCTCCCTGTTTCATGGTTATTTTGGTGGACTTTTAGTATTTCTAATGAGTTACTCCATTTGAATTATCCCGTAAATATACTTGTATATACTTCCATACAATTCTCAGGTGTTTATACATTAATTTTAGCTTCTACATATGAGAGAAAACATGTATTCTTTATCTCTCTGGGCCTGACTTAATATGTTTTAGTTTTTTTTTTAGGTCCTTCCATTTCTTTGCAAATGATGCAGTATTATTCTACAAGACCTTTCCAAATCTGAATTTCTAATGTTCAGAAACAACTCATATATTTGCTGGGTGCTGGTGGCTCATGCCTGTAATCCTAGCTACTCAGGAGGCTGAGATCTGAGGATCATGGTTCAAAGCCAGGCCAGGCAGGAAAGTCCATGAGTCTTTATCTCCAGTAAATCACTAGAAAACCAGAAGTGCTGCTGTGGCTCAAGTGGTAGAGCATGTGCCTAGAGCTGAAGAGCATAGAGCCCAGAGGTTCAAGCCCCATGACAGACAAAAAATAAAAAATAAAAATAAAAAAAATACAAAGACCACTCCTTTGTGTTAAGATACAAATGGAATTTCCATGGACAAAGCCACAGATTACAGATGCCTACAGAACAATCTTCATAAAGAAATCTACTTTTGGCCAGAGAACAATAAAATTTCAATTAAAGTATGTAAAGGAGTGGTCTTAAAATGTTCTGTTTCTATAGATCTTTAGAGGCTTCATGAAAGAAAACAAATAAACAGAAAGAAAAGGAAGAAAAAGCTCAAATGAGTAAGAAAAAACAGAAACTTGAGCAATCAAACTATACTAATCTACACTTCAACTATTATGATGGTACCAGTTATAAATACAGATAGATATTAAATCTGTGCTAGGAGATCTCACTGTGGCTCTGCCCTACTAAATATCTGTATCTTTGTGTCTATTTATAGACATATTTATTCCCTAACTCATTAATGGTTGTGGCAGAAAAATTAATTTTTAAATTGGATTTTGGAGATGGTATGTATTTCCCAGCTCTCATCCATGTAGGAAGGTTCATATTCATTAATAGAAACATATGTTCTCGGCTTGTGTAATTGGTGTTTTATTTTCCCTTCAAGTGACAACTGGCTCCAGATGAGCACACAAAAACTATTTAATTTGTAACATTTATAAACAATCGATCAGAGTCCTGAGCCCTGGTAATTGATGTCTTCATAATACAGGAGAATGGACAGGTACAGTAAGAGGAAAAAAAATAACCTCCCTGTTCTTTTCAGATCAAGTCAATTTCTGAAAAGTAGGAAGGCCTCCACCCTCTTTCATCCCTGCCAACCTAGATGTTCTTCTCTACTTCCTGTCTCATTCTCAGTATCTTCCTTCTGACTTAAGCCCCCAGATAGATATTTGCTTTCATACTGTATTTCATCTCTAAAACTACTTATCTTTCCTTTCTTCTTCCAATAAAATTTTAACTCTGAAAATAGTTGATATTAATCAAAGGTTAGCAAAGAGGTACGTGTAGAAACAAAAATATAATAAAGTGTCAATGACTGATAGCCTACTAACAAAAAAATCTCTACACATATATACTTATCTGTAAGTATATGTTTATACATAAAAGATACACATAATCCTCACTCAGAAGGTAGAGCAAGAGGATCACAAGTTCAAAGCCAGCCCAAGCTGTATAGTAAGAACTTATCTCAAAAGATAAAAACAGTGTATACTATGTATGTATTTTCTGATTTTAAGTAAAAATGTCTATTAAATCAGAAGAATTGATGAAAATTGGGGCAGCATAACAAAAATAAAAGTGAAATATGTAAGACTGAAGGCATAAGCTTATTTCCCAGGAAAGAATGACCAAGTAAGAAGTTCTGCCTAGGAATGCTCTCAGAATCAGCTTTTTATCCTTTTCCTTTATTCCTAAACATTCTGTATATATTCCATTTTTTATAGCAACTATTAATGTAAGAGCAAAGGATTCTGATCATAGTAATGTAAAAGCAGAAGCTGTCGAATTAGTAAGTTACTACTTGTAAAAATGCACATATATTAAATAGAGATATGCAGTATCCTTGTCCATTACTTTTAGTATAAAATGATTTACTATAGAATTCCTTTAATCACAAAACTCCTTAGAGCACTTATAAAGTGTAAATAGGTTTAAAAATTCAAGACAAACTTTTAAAAATTACTTATTTATCTTTCAGTACTAGGGTTTGAACTCAGGACTTTTCCTTTTTTTTTTTTTTGCTAGTCCTGGGGCTTGAACTCAGGGCCTGGGCACTGTCTCGGTGCTCAAGGCTAGCACTCTACCATGAGCTACAGCGCCACTTCTGTCTTTTTCTGTTTATGTGATACTGAGGAATCAAACCCAAGGCTTCATGCATGCTAGGCAAGCACTCTACCATTGAGCCACATTCCCAGCCAATTAATACAAACTTTTTAGGAAGAGCATTTTTTAAAAAATCTTTCTCTCTCTCTCTCTTTCATACTCAGAGCCCTAAAGGTATTAGGTTCATATAAGAAGGTAAAATATGTACTGGTGCAATAACAAATGAAAGACTGATTAAATTCTTGGCAAATACGAAAAAGTCTTTAAGTCATAAATTAAGATTGATTTGACACTGGCTGGGCTTGTGCATGTACCCAGCAATAGAAGGGATACACAAACATTCAGGATACTTGTCAATCACATGTGCTTCTACCTTTTTACCTCTTTCTTTCCCTTCCCTATATAGGTGTTGTTTCTTTGTCTAGCCATTTTAAGACACAGTGAACTTGTTTCTCCACAGAGAATTGGAGGGTAAAATGGGGAACAGTAATGTGTCCATAAAGAAGCAAGGAAGTAGTGGAGCTAAGTAGAAGCCAGCCTCACACTCATCCCACCTGCTGTGTCTGTTGTCTCTGGATTGCTCTCACTTTGGGAACAGGGCTCTCTCTGGAGGAAGAGGACTGTTGCCGAGACCGACTCCCATTCTGCACAGGCTCAGTAGCCAGGGCTGCAGAAGCCACTGACATGCTCCCGGTGCTACGTAAGGAAGCACTGTGTGGCAGGGATGGAGGGGCTTTGGCTCGAGCACCTAACCCAGCCTGGTCCATTTTTCGGATTTGGGGTTGCCCAGTACTATTTTGTCGTGGCAGAGCAAGAGGTATGTGTCTATCCGGTACAGTGTGCCGCCTGGAGAAGTCTTCACTCTGAGTGCTACGTTTGGTGAAATCTTCCATGCTGCTATTGCTGGGTCCACTGAGTTTGAAGTCTTCACTGTTACTTTGGCTTCTAGAACTGGCAGTGCTTAGATTCTCCAAACTAGAATCTACAGAGGCCTTTGGCATTGTTGGAATTGGGTTACTGAGGTGATAGACAGGGTTCTGGAATGACAAGGGCTGGAGACTTCCTGGCTGGCTCAAGGCTGGATGTAGGGGTCTTCTCACTTGGGGTGCACTCTGAGGTGTGCTCTGGGTTTCCCGCAGTTGTTTGATGCTGGCCACCTGAGTAATGGAAAGCTGGCTTCCTGTCAGGCGCATAGGCACATCAAGCATAACAGATGCATGCTCCACCTGAGCGGCATGAGTGTCCTGGAGGTCCATGAGGGAGATGCTTCGACCATTAGGAAGACTATTTTCTTTTTCATCCTTTTCCGAATAAGTCATGCTTTGGGAGGATGCTTGTTGAACTAGTAATAATGTTTTTCCTCGGAAATAGCTATCTGTATTGTCCTGGCTTGGAGATTTTAGTTTATGCAAATCACTGTGGAAAACAAAAGGACCCTTAATTATTCTTGGAGTAAATTCATTATAGTTAAAACTCTTTACTTTGGGCATATGAACTCTTTTGAAGTTTCCTAATTCAAATTTCTTTAGAAACATACATTTTTTTGGGGGGGGTCTGGTCGTGGGGCCTAAACTCTGGGCCTGGGCGCTGTCCCTAAGCTCTTCAGCTCAAGACTAGCGCTCTACCACTTGAGCCACAATGCCACTTCCGGCTTTTTTCTTTTTGCTTATGTGGTGCTGAGGAATCGAACCCAGGGCCTCATGCATGCAAGGCAAGCACTCTACCACTGAGCCACCTTCCCAGCCCAGAAACATAGATTTTTATCACTATTATTCTTAGAATAAAATCTACCATTTTTAGTTTTCTTCTAAAGGTTAGCAAGTAACACTGCAATACCCCCTTATCACTGTCTTAAGTTTTTACTAGAATTCCAATAGTCCCCTACTTGGTTTCAAACTCTCCCAAGATATTCCAACTCATAATATGCCTTTCCTAAACCTTTAAGAGAAGTTCTAAGTCGATAACCAAAGGATCTTTGTTAAAGCACAAATCTTCCCAATCCAGAACACAAAATCTAAGCATCAAAATTGTATCTACCTATCTAACTGACACAGCCAGTTATAAAGTGGTTTTAACTGAGGCACTGTTCAGTTTTGAGTGCTATACCATATGAACACATTAATATCATAAAAGTCCTTAGTCATTCTTCAACCATGACACAGATTTTTGTATACATTTACTGAATGTAACTCTATCCTCCTAGGAAATAGATTGTATGGATTATGACAATTGGAATTTATTTCACGTGATTTTTTCAATTGCTCATAACTTTAAGTTTCAAAAATTAAACAGATTTTCCCCAAATCTAAACAATATCTCTTTCTGAGACAATAGTTCAAACCTTCTCTTTCATACCTATCTGTGGGGTCTTCAAAGATTTTCTGCAATCCAGAAGAGAGGCTTCCACTAACATTTGGACTGGAGTTATGCTCAGTGAAGCGTCTCAGTTGCTGCTGTATTGGTGTGGGATTGGTCAGGGATTTGGTAATATCAGCAAGTACACGAGGAAGAGGCCCCAATTTTGCCACGGTTGCCTGTAGGAAGGAATTTTCACCCTAATTGGATAATAGCATTGTGATATCCATGACAGATTGTTTTTGGGACAATGATGGCCATTGATGGAAGGGTGTAGGTTGGAGGGAAGGATAGGTATTTGCATTTGGGAGTGGCAGGTTCATAATGCATTGTTATGGAGCAGCAGAACCATGGCGTCGAGATGAATGAAGGAGGCGAACAGGGTGCAGCAGACATTGAGGAAAGAAAGGAAACAGAAATTAGGGTTATGCAAATAAAACTTAAAAGACATGCTCAAAATAACCAAACTATTGCCATTCCAACTAAAATAGGCATGCAAAGCAAGCTAAATCTTTGGGTGGCTAGGAGACTTTAATGGAGCAGAGAAGAGGAGGTACTGAACATTTTCTAACCAAAAGGACCTTCAAGACCAGAGGATTGGTGAGTATGATGAAACTTCCAAAGCAAAAACAGACGATATGAGAAAAGAAATGCATGCCAACATACAGGAAGGTGCTACATTCAGGGTTCCAGAGCACTGTAGGGCACACAGTTAGATGATAATGCCATTTGCTATCCTATTCAGTCTTGGGAACCCTAATTTGTTTACTGTGTCTTTGTAATTTTTTTCATCGACACAATCAGGTAATCTCTTTCTATAAGTAATACTGATACATTCCTGGTTTTCAGGACCAAACAGAGTTAAAAAAATGTTTATACAGCAAAACTTGTTACCCTGAACGAATCTATTTAATAAGATAACTATACGAAGTTATAGTTGTCCGATAAAGAATTTGTTAAAATATTTGCATTATCCATTTAGTATTTTTCTTTATGTAATTCTTAGCCTCATGAGGTATTATGAGACCCCTTCAACTATTAGGCAGTTTGGGTCTTCATTAGCTTCTCAAATAAAAAAAAACCCAACAGACTTTTTTTTTTTTTGATAGTACAAGAGATTTGAACCCAAGGACTTATGTATGTTAGGAAAGTATGTTGACTTACATAGGCTCTTGTATTCTACCCAAAGGAGTACAAATGACATCTGAAGAATACCTTTATGTGTTCAACAATACTGATTCCTGATTCAAATGAATTTACTTTTTGCTGGTCCTGGGGCTTGAACTCAGGGCACAGGTGCTACCCCTGAGCCTCTTTGTGCTCAAGGCTAGTGCTCTACCATTTGAGCCACAGTACCACTTCTGGCCTTTTCTGAGTAGTTAATGAGATAAACATTGCATGGACTTTTCTGCCTGGACTGGCTTCAATCCACTATCCTCAGATCTTAGCCTTCTGAGTAGCTAGGATTATAGGAACGAGCCACTAATGCCCAGCTGAAGGGATCTATCTTTTAACATAGTTAAAATAAGAACTAAATTTTAAAATCTAGTCAGTATTTCTAAGGGTGAATATCAGGTTCTTGAAAAATCAGGAGTGGTTTATTGTTTTATAAATAAAACATCAGTGAATATACCATCGTTTATGCTCTTTTCATCAAAGTTTTAATATAGGTTTTATTACTCTTCAAGCAACTAGGACAGCTTGATAAGAGAAAAATTGGGGGAAAACTCTTTATAACAGAAAAATCACCTTAAAAAGCTATTCTAACATACTACTAAACTAACACACCTACTAACAACTCTGTGAAATACCAGAGGGGAAAAATAATTGGCATGTTTTTCCATTTGCTTATTAATTTGATATATAAAACTACTTATTTAGAATCTGAAAATAAGATAACCGATTTCTGTATTCTTATTTTGTATCTGTAGATAAAGAAAACATTAGAACTTCCAGATTTCATGTGATTCTTAGCACTAATAATTATATCAACCTTTCTGCTTTGCATAGTAATTTTTTTCCATATATAAAGTTACTTAAACATGATAAACAATACTTTCTAAATCTGTGATTTTGTTACAAATTACTTGAAAAATAAGTTTGATGTTAGTTTTCCAGATAACTTTTCATATACACACATGCTACATAAATCTGTAGAAACATACATTAATTCAGGTAATTATACAAAATGTATTAATGATGTCATGGCTTTCTAGAATTTCTTGGTTGCTGATAATCTAATTTGCTCAGAAATGATAACCATTTACTTTTCAGATATTTAGGACAAATGGCTGCTTCCAATTATTAGAGAGGGTAAGTTCTTTTACTTGTAGATACCCTCCAGAATTGTTTCAATAAAATTATCTATCTCCCATTTTCTATCATTCTCCCAGTCTACTTTACCTTATCCAGTTGGGAAACTACTTCCCACAGTAAGGAATGCAAAACTGAAAGCTCTCGGCCAAGATCAATATAACCGTCAAAGCCTGGAGTGTTTGAGATGGTGTCTGGATTAGAGATCTCCAAAAGGAAGCGCTTCATTCCACTCCATTCATGTTCTAAAAAATCATTCATGAATGCCATGTATTCCTCTTTGTTACCAAACCTGAAGTAAGAGGTGAAAAAATGAGAAGGAAGATATTCCAGGAAAGAGGTATCATTTAAAACTGATTCTATATCCATGAAAAAAAATTTATACTGAGGTATAATTTTTTAAATTTTGTACAGATAATTATGACTTTTGTATATCCATAAGTTCTAACTGCTAAAACCTATTTTTTAAATATTTCTTTGATAAAGATTGTAAAGCTTTAAATAGCTTTCTCTTCTATGTGTAGTAAAGCCAATGATCATGTTTTTCTGATATTTAAAGCTTTCTCTAAGATAGCCTTTGTTATCTACACAAACTACAATTTTTTTAGCTTCTTCAAAATTTCCCAAATATATTATACAACAGTTTTCCCTTTAACTATGGTGTATATTCCAAAACCTCTAATGGAAATTTGAAATTGTGAGTAGTATAGAACCTTTTTTTTTCTATATATACATACCCATGATAAAGTGTCATTATTTTAAAGGGAGCTCTTTTCTTTGGCACATCTAAATTGTCAGTATCATTGCTCCTATGTTTTGGGACTAAAATAAGGATTACTTGAACATAAACACTGTGATATCTTGATAGATCTTCACCAAGAACCTATTAAAGGGTCAGTAGCATATATATAGATAAAGGAATGATACCCATTTTGGATGGGACTGAGCTAGATAGTGTGAGATGTCATCATACTACTCAGAATGACATGTAATTTTAAACTAGTGAATTGTTAATTTCTGAAATATTTCACGTAACAGTTCTGGATCACAGTTGAACATAGGTAAGTTGACCTTGAATGCAAACCTTGGATAAAGGTACTGTACTCTTTATTTTCTTCTTCAAGCCTTTGCTCATGCCCTTTATTTCTACTAGAGATGAATTTCTTGGTCTATCTAGATCCTACCATCTCCAGAGCCTAATTTAAATCTATAAAACCTGTTCCAAGATAGACTAAAAATCATTTTTATTACAATTAGCTCAATTTTTGGGTTATATATATATTGCATACAAAGTTAAAATAGTGGTTCTTCTAAAAAAACACACTACACAAGTTAACTGTTGGCTTCTTTGAAGTTCCATTTTTTTCTTCTGTATATTGCTAACAGAAAGTACATCTGTGATCAATTCTGCCAGTGGGAAAGAATTCCCACTCATTCTTCAAAATTATTTTCTTTAAAAGTTTAAAATTACAATTAGGAAAGAATCAAAAGCAATAAAAAAAGTTGAAAGAAAAAAGTGTGGGTATTCAACTAAACAAACATTATTTGCTATTTGCATTTGAGTGCTATTGCTTTCCTCTTTTCTTTTGAAAAAAAAAAAAGCCTACATGCAAGTTGAAAGAACATGCAATGAACACCCATATGTCTTTCATTTACATTATCTGTTAACATTCTGCCAACTTTGCTTTCACTCTCTCTCTATGTACATATCTTTTTTTCTGAATCATTTTAAACTAACTTGCAGACATCACCTCTAAATTTTTTGGCACTCATTTTTCAAATAAGAATCTCTTATATAAATCAAAGACATTATTACACTAACACTTTAAAGTATTATTCATAAATTCTTTATTTAGTCCATATTTAAATTTTACCAATTATCCCTTTTTTTTTAATAGGGTCTCTCTGTGTACAGCCCATGCTGGCATAGAACTCACTCTGCAATCCAGATTGGTCTTGAACTGGATCATTTGCCTCAGCTTCTCTATTGCTGGACATACAGAGGTATATGTCACCATATCTGGCTCCCTAAATAATTTTTTATAATTTTTTCCCTAATTTAAGATCCTAAAAAGTTGCATTTGGCCTCTTTTGGTCATCTATAACATTCTTCTATCTTTTGTGTTTTCATTCTACATTACCTTTTAGGAAGTGGTTAGGTTAATTAATGGTAACTGTTTATTTTTCCCAACTCGTCTTTTTTCTTTTTGTTCAATGCTGGAGAGCTAAGCCAGAAGTTTGTACATACTGGGCAAGTGCTTTACTGCTAAGCTACATACCCAGCCCTTTCTCAATACTTTTTTTCTTACAAATTCTTGTCATATTGTTGGGACACCATTTTGAATCCTGTTTTTAAAGTGACATTTAATTTAATTGTATCTTTACCATTTTCCATGTTACTTAGTATTCTTTTAAAATAGTAGTTTGCTTGTTTTTTAATTTAAATTTTAGGTTCTGGGGTTTAACACAGGGCCTGTGTTTGCTAGGCAGGTGCTTACCACTCAGGTGTGTTGCCAGCCCTTTTTCCTTTGTTTTCAAATAGTCTCACCTAGGCAGACAGACCTGGACCACAATCCTCCTAGTTATGCTTCCTGCTTAACTGGGATGACAAGCATGTACCACTATGCTTAGCTTCCACTGGTTAAAATAGGATGTTAGTAACTTTTTTACTTAGGATGGCCTACATCTGTAATCCTCTCCATATCTGCCTTCTGAGTTAGATTAAACAATATTAGGTGGCTTCAAATATTATAATGAATGCATGTACTATAGTTGCTTAATAGCTGTTTCCAGTATGCTGCTGTTTTTATTAAAAAATGAACATCTGTCCGAGTTTTGGAGCTCCCCAATCACATACAAATTTTAGGCCTCATTTAATTTTTTAAACCATGTGTTTGTAAAGTGGTTTGGGCAGTATCACCTACTTGGCAAAGTTGGCTAGGTTCTGAATGACCTTGGCAATAAGAGTTAGAGTCCGAGATGTGCGGTCATCAGGATATTCCTGCATAAGGTTGAAAAGACTGGGAGACATAATGGCAGGGCAAAGGAAACGGAGAAACAATGAGGCACTAATGAGCCGTTCACTGATGTCTTGCTTGCCTCGGTTCAAGCACTGCTGCTTCCATGATGCAAATACTTCTTTCAATTCACGAGGAAAGACACTGTGGGGGAAAAAACAGAAAAACAAACTAAATCTCTAAATATAAAAATACCAGTGATCCCAGTGTGACTCAGCTGCTTTAGGGCTGAACTATGAGGAGAACTTAGTCAAGATCCAAGGATTAGACTGACTCATGTTTAAGAAGTGGTAGAAAATTCACAGAAGGCCATATGGAGACTTGAATCTGAAAGCTAAAAAACTCTGAATTAGTGTAAATTTAGTTTTGTAAAGTGGGAAAATGGCATGAGGCTCCTGACTAAACCATCTGGTTTAATATAGCTCACCATAATCTGTCTAAAAGACTGTTCATCAAAAATCTTCCAAAATCTCACCAAGTACCGGAGCTAGAGCAATGATCAAAATTCATGAGCACATCTGTTCAACATTGGCAAATGTTTTAAAAAGAGAGAAAGTACTTTTGAGTATTCAAGGATGCAGATCTAACATTATAGAAGAGATTATTTTGAAAATTAGATCTAACATTATAGAAGAGATTATTTTGATAATCAGTTCAGAAGTATTTCTGCTTACAATGAAAAATTAAACTTTAGACAAAGAATGGACACCAGCTTACCAGTAAGAATTGATGATCTTGCAGAAAGCCAGCTCACAACACATCTTTAGGTTGCTCTGATGGTCTAGCAGTTCACTAGATGAACATTTACTGGGATCCACTTCACAGTTCTCATCTGATTCATACAAAGCTTTGATGAACTCCCCTTTTTGCAAAGAAAACAAGTAGTATAAGTGTAAAATGTCTTCTTGAACAAAATAAGATTTAAGATTTCTGAAATAAAAAGTATAATGGGGAATTCTTGTCCCAAAAATGAGAGGGAAAGCACAAGACTGCCTGTGAAGGGTCCCTGATTTGGAACCCAATAGTTTTGCACATTCCCACATGTTTATTTTCCCTATCTTGTAAGCAGAATGATATCAAATACTAACATCATTATAATACTTATAAAAATAATAATATGGCTTTAAACAAAGTAGTATTTTTTAAAACCAGAAACCACAAATTATAATTAGCACCACTTGTAATATGTTATAGAAGGTTCCCTTTTTTTTTTTTTTGTTGCTCGTGGGACTTGAACTCTGGGCTCCAGCACTGTTCCTGTGCTCTTAAGCTCAAGGCAAGCACTCTACTGATTGAACCATAGTACCACTTCCAGTTTTCCAGTGGTTTATTGGAGATAAGAGTCTCACGGACTTTCCTGCCTGGGCTGGCTTTGAACCACGAATCCTCAGATCTCAGCCTCCTGAGTAGCTAGGATTACAGGCATGAGCTACCAATGCCCGGCTTAGAAGGTTCCTTTCTAAGTAGGGGAACTCATATTATTTTAGAAAATCAAACAACCCAACCCTGACCAAATAACTTACCTAAGGTTTGGGGGCTTGAATGTGTTCACCTGTTGCAACGGGATGGTCATTTAACCTAGTAAAAACTGTAGCAGATTCTCTTTATATATTCCCTATATGCTTTCCCACAGAAATTTAGCTTAGATGCTTTGGTCATATAGCTTATCTATAAAAGTATGCCAGAAATTCCCTGGAGTTACCACCTTACCTGCTTATCCTCCACTATACACTATATACTTTAATATTTGCAAATGTTCCATGTTTTATACTAATTTGTCCTTATTTGTTTCCATGGCTGCTCATTTTTTTTTATTGTGAAAATACCGTACAGAGGGGTTACAATTACATGGGCCAGGTTATGAGTACATTTCTTATCAAGCATTGTTGCCTCCTTTGTTTCCCTTCCCATCCCATCTCCCCTCTCCACCCTCCTACTCCGACTGCCCTAACCCCTCCCACCCCCCGCCAAAGTTGTAAAGTTCATTTTTTGACATAACGACTTGTACATCTCATTGTTGCAATGGGTCCACCTGTATCCCTTTTTAAATGGTTTGTTTTTGCCCTTCCCCTCCACAAATTATACCAACATCAAATACAATGAAAGCAGGGGTTATACTGTGGGGGAGGGACATACAAAGCAACAAAGAAATCATCTTATAAATATGTTAGAAACAATTGCAAGAAAGAAAACACATTTGAATAGTTATCTTGGGGTTCATTTAACCTAACATCAACTTATCTGACCTTTTCTGCTTGTCTCAGACATATACTAGTTATTGCAAATAAGGGAATGCCTGAATTTAGCTCTTACCTCTTGAGTAGTTAGGATTAAAGGTATGAACCATGAACCTGCTCTTAGGTCTTACGTTTGTTTTTTTTTTGTTGTTGTTGTTGTTTTGTTTTTAAGAGGAGTGGCCTTTGTAAGATCCTGATCATATTACTTGAGGGTTGGACTTGCTATAACAGAGTTCATGAAGCGGACCATTAATTCCTACAGAATTAAGTGGCAGTAGCAGTAGCAATATGAAGGACATTTTTTTTTTTTTAAATCAAAGTGTTTAGTACTTAGGTAAGTGAAAGCTTTTAAAAATAGCTATGACTTGAGAAGTGATAATTTGGAAGAAACATGGCTGGGAAACAAAAAGTGAAGTGGTACAATGAAGGAAAATGGGGCATAGGAAAAAAAAGGCTGTGGAGCCAGAAAAAGAGAGAGAGAGAGAGAGAGAGAGAGAGAGAGAGAGAGAGATCTAATGTTATTTTAGTTCAAGCCTTATTTAGGCACTGTCCCTGAGCTCTTCAGCTCAAGGCTAGCCTTCTACCACTGGAGCCACAGCACCACTTCCTGCTTTTTCTGCTTATGTGGTGCTGAGGAATTGAACCCAGGGCTTGCAAGGCAAGCACTCTACCACTGAACCACCTTCCCAGCCCGGCGAATAATTTTTTTAAAAAGCATCTAGTATGCTTCCCGGACTTCTATAGAAGTCATTATTATGTACAAAAATAAATTACTTTTGTTTTATCATTGTGCCGGCATTGGGATGTTGCTTAGCTTTTTCACTCATGGCTGGTGCTATCACTTGAGCCAAATCTCCACTTTGCTGATTTATTGGAGATCATTGTCTTTCAGGTTTGTCTGCCCAGGCTGGCTTCAAACTACAACCCTCAGATGTCAGCCTTCTGAGTAGTTACGATTATAGGCACAAGTCACTGAGCTCAGCTGAAAAAATATGCTACTTCTAAATAGTTTTTCATAAAGTAAAATCACCAAAACCAATAAAAGTTTAACATTGCCAGTTTCAGAAGGTATGCATTTCTTATTATCTCTACAGTATTTTGTTTAAAGAATACTTGAATTTAAAACTTAAGCAATTAATGTCAAAATATACAAAGTAACACCTGTTTAACCTCTAAATGTGCAAGATGAACTTTACATTGAGGAAGTTTTATTTTTAAAGTTTTATCAATTATGGGAAAGTAATGCTAGCATTAATAAGTATTATAAATATTAAATATTTTTCTTTTACTTTTCAAGAGTTAAATAAATTATTCTATGGCTCAAAACAAATTGTCTATAAAATTGTCTACAGTGCTCACACTATAGCTTCATTTTTATTTTTTATTGAGTACAGAGGACTATAGTTACAAAAATCAGGTATGGAGTACATTTCTTCCATCATTTTCTCCCAGTTTTTTCCCTCCCAATCCCCCTACCCAATTTATATAGTTAATTTCCAACATAGTATATAGTATCACTGTTGAATTAGTTCATCTTTTTTCCCACCGTTTCTGTGGTTCTCTTTCCCCTCCCCAAATCAGATAAGCACTAAAGCTTCTTAATTTTTTTCCTTATATGACACTATTAAAATTTTCTAAAATACAATTATTTTCATTTTTAGAGTTACAACCTATGCCTGATAATGTGGTACGTATCAAAATGGCAGGTGGAGCTCTTATAAATTTGAATCTAGAAAGTACTTGACCAAAATTATTGAGATTGATTAAAAACCCCATTTGACTTTCTTTCTCTTCTTTCTTTCTTCCTTCCTTTCTCTTTCTTTTCTCTCTCCTTCCTTCCTCACTCCCTCCATTCCATCCTTCTCTCCCTCCCTCCCTTCTTCCCTCTTTCTCTTTCTTTTTTTGGTTGGTTGTGGGGCCTTAACTCTTGGCCTGGGCGCTGTCCCTCAGCTCCTCAGCTCAAGGCTAGTGCTCTACCACTTGAACCACAGTGCCACTTCCGACTTTTTCGGATTATATGGTGCTGAGGAATCGAACCCAGGGCCTCATGCATGCAAGGCAAGCACTCTACCACTGAGCCACCTTTCTAGACTGTCTTTTGACTTTTTCTTACTCGCTATATTGTTTAATTGTAATTACGTTTGGGCCAAGTTAGAGAATGCTCTATAATGTGCTGTCTATGCAAACTACTAACTCATTAATACCACAAAAATTTCAAGTATAGGTATGGAAATGTTACTGTTGAAAGGTATTTGCCTCCAAATAGTCTAAGTGACTCCTTTAATCTTATAGATGGTATTTCCTCCAACTTCAATTAGAGAGTTAAAGGGGACTACCAGATTAAAAATTTAAGTCTAACTGAAGCAGTCTGTGCTTTTTATCAGGGCTTTTATCTAGACAAATGAAGATTGACTAAGAAGCAGGTTGATATTAAGCAACATATTACTTTTATTGGTGCAAAGGATTGAACCAGGGCCTATGGCATGCTAGATAAGCACTCTACTCAGCTACATCTTCAACCTTGACTGACAACTATTAAAATCGACCCTCTCTGAGGATTCTTAGCAGTCTGGAAATAGCATGTAGTTTTTACACACAGTATATGAAGTACAGCTAATCTTTTATGGGAAGAAGACAATCCAATTGGCCCTGAAGAAGCTTACTGGTTAATTCTGTTTATGTTCGGCCATTTTCACCACTCTGGGCATTGCTCATAGAGTAGTAGAAATAGTTTCTTCCCATATTCAGTGAATTATTTTATGCCTCATTGAACTAATGAGCTACTTAATTATTCACTGTTATAGCAAAGGACTTGGTATCCATTTTCACTTAGGAAAATATTTAAAAAACCATGCTTAATATTGATTTTTAGAATATAAATATTTGATTTTGAAGAAGTGGGTAGTCAACAAATATTCCCTCAGGTTCACAGGATAAACGATGTTTGAGAGGCTTTATTGTTGCCTTTTAAAATACAATACAAATCATTACATACATTTTATGACTGTAGTATGCTCTTATACATAACCTACTTGTACCTTTCCAAGTATCAATGAATATTCAATTATTTTTCTTGCAAATTCCCATTAGATCTTAAAGTTTAATGCTTGAAGAAAAGCACAAAGAGAAAAAAATTTACATTTATAGAGTAGCAATTTATTGCTATTATAGTAAGTATGTTTCATATAAACATAGTGATCCTACTTCTTGACCAGTTTTTTCACTTTTCCCCCCTTAATTATGACTACTTTCCTCTTGAAACCAGGCTGAGGCATCACAAGTGCTGTTTAAGTTGCTAAAGAATTTGACAGCCACTTTTTCTATCCTTCTTAAATCTCTGAAAAAATTGTAAGTAAGTAAAATTTTGGTGGCCCTGAGAAATAAATACATGTTGAACATGTGCTCTACCACTGAGCTATTTCTTCAGCCCCTCTGACTCTTAATTCTTTCCTATTTGTTATTGGTATTGAGAACTCTGTATTTTCCTTGTTTTCTTTTTTGCATTGTCTCTCTGATCATTTCAAAATTTCTCTGATTTCTATTCTTCCTTCCTTCCTTCCTATAAAATACTTTGAAATCTGTATTTGGGCTTTATTCTCTTCTGCTCTGCTAGTTTCATAGCTTCCACATAAGTTACTTCCAAATTTTCAACAGATAACTTAGATGTCCTCACTAGTTTTCCTACCAAAAATCCGAGACATCCTACCAGAACTTCAAATTGAATCTTTGTAAGGCAAAATATAATTTCCTTTAAGTTTATATTTCTATGACTTCAATTTTTGGTTAGAATCTCATTATCTTTAGTCATTCACAAAGGCGAAAAAGTCTCTAACATTTGATACTTCCTTCTTTTTCACAAAGTTGTGAAGTCATTATCAGTTCAATTTTAACATTTTTATATCCTTCTCTTCTATTCTTATTCCTGCAAATGCCTCAAAGTCTCAATATTTCTTGTTTGATTTATAATGGCTTCTTAATGAATCCATCCCTAACAAGCCATTTTAATTAGTCTCTTAATTCCATTGAAAATATCCTACTAAAAAACTTTCAGTGGTTTTCCTATAAACAGCGTGAAATCTAAATCCTTAACCAGGCTCTCAAAAAAATGGTTCCAATTATTTTTTAGTCTTTTTTGTTGTTTTTCATTTGTCTCTTCATGTCCTTTTTCTACTAAATTTTTTTTTTATTCTATCCAGGTGCTGGTGGTTCAAACCTGTAATCCTAGCTACTCAGGAGGCTGAGATCTAAGCATTGCAGTTTGAAGCCAGCAAGGACAGGAAAGTCTGTAAGACTCTTATCTCCAATTATCTACAAAAAAGCTCGAAGTGGAACTGTGGCTCAAGTAGCAGAGCATTAGCTATGAGCAAAGAGGCTCAGGAACAGTGCCCAGGACCTGAGTTCAAGCCCAGGATCAAAACACACACACACACACACACACACACACACACACACACACACACAACACACACACACACGAAGTTTTATATGTGATTCTTTCTCATTTCTATGCCTTTCCCCCCCTCCCATTGTAATCCCCATCAATGCCCTTGCTCAATGTATGTCTTATTCCAACCTTTCTTTCCTTTAAACCACACATACAACATAAATGTATTTTATGCAGGGAATATTTTTGTAATTCTTTCAAGCTAAAATAAATTTGTAATAAATTCTTTAAGAAAACAGGGTTTTGCTCTTTTGGGCTATAGGGACAATGTGACTTTTATTTTTCTGTAAGTTCCTTGAGAACAAAATAGTCTCTCCAATCATTAAACATACTCGTACTGTCTACTTTTGTCACTTTGTTTGTCTCATGAGGGTGAAACAAGTTAAAACTGGGAGGAAAAGAAAAGAAAGCAGTTATTTTCCTTTCCATACCTAATGCATCATGAAGATATTGTTGTCCTACTAACTTGAGGTACTCCTCAATGGATTTGGTGGCAATCGTATTCTCTCTGAAGATTAAGACATCATGCTCTCCACAACGATCCACCTCAGACATCACCAAGTCGGTCAGAAAATCCTGGTTGAACAGTATTTAGTCAGGCAGAATAACTGAATACATAGTCCACATTAGAAGAGGTAAGTAAAATATCAGTCATCTTAGGAATGATGCTTTCAAACCTAAGTTACCAGATTCACTGGAAAGGAAAAAGGAAATCAAGATAAAAATCTTACATGTCACTACCTCTAAGTTTAAAATTACTTCATAGGTTTTTCCATGGAGCTTTTGAAAAAGATCATAATTCTGAATGTAGCCTACATGTCTCTGAACTCTTGGTCTCTGTCTATTTCTTCAACTGTGTCTAGTATCATTCTTTCTACGCTTTAGCCTCAGGGGCTTTCTTTTTAGGTCACTAAATACATATATTCTCCATTCAGCACAAAGCCTTCTGCAAATGCTGTTCTCAGTTCTATTCCACTCCCACTCTCATTCCCACCCCCACTTCCACAAAGCTAATTCTTGGAATCCTTTGGATCTTAGTTTACAACTCGTTTCCTCAGTAAAACCTTCCCTGATCAATACTGTCCCTTAAAAGTCCTTTTCGGCCCCATTCCTCTATACTTCACAGCATTATCTATCCTTTTAGTCTACTGTACTTCTTCCTGGAATTACACATGTATTTCCACAACTACTTTGATTAATATGTCTTCCCCAGAAAACAGAAAGCCCTATGAGGCTAAAGATACTGTCTATTTGTGTTCACCCCATACTTTCAATATGTGCCATATATTTGTCCAATGTGTAAGAGGTACAAATGCCCATAATGTCAAAATGGAACTTTTGGAACTCATCCTTTGGACTCATGATTTTTGTCTGGCATTATATTCATCCACACACCAAGAGACAAGGAAGAAATAGGGAGAATTAAAATCCTGAAGAAAGCCTTTCATCATTCCTTACTGGTCCTAAAACAATTTCAATGTGCTCAGCTTGGAATGGGGTAACATTATGTATTTTGAATATCACATAATAACTGGATATTCCATGGGGTCCAGAACAAAAAACAAAGGGTTTATGCTTACTATTAGTTTAAAATTAAATCTTTTAAGTATTGATGGGGCCCAGGTGCTGGTGGCTCACACCTATAGCCTTAGCTATTCAGGAAGCTAATAAAGAGGATCATGTTCCAAGACTGCCCAAATAAGAAAGTCAGCGAGATTCTTATCTCCAATTAACCACTGAAAGAACTGGAAGTGGAGCTGTGGCACAAAGAATACCAGATTTGAGGAAGAAGATTTGAGGACAGTATCAAGGCCCTAAGCTGAAGCAATAGTGGCACCAATAAAAAAAAAAAGATACAAACAAAACTCAGAAAACCAACAACTCCTCCCCCAAAACATAATGAAACTCACTCTGGAGCAGTTGTGGACTTAAGCATGATGACTGACACTTACAGTAATAGGATGCAATTTTGGACATGATGTTTTAGTTAGATAGTGATTTAAAACCCTCTGAACTTCTCCACTTTAAATGGATACAATTTACAATACACAAATTAAAAGTTGCTTAAAAAATCTTATGCATCGCCGAACCTTTCAGCAACTGAAAAGCAGAAATACCATATCTATGAAATATAAACATGAGACTTACAATTTCAAAGATGCTTCACCCACCATTTTAACAACAGAAGACTTATTTTCAGTAAATTCAAACACAAAAATTATAATCAATAGAAAGAGAAGGAGCTATATTTCTAATATAGTGCTATATTCTGATTTATATCAAGAAAATTTAATGGCATTTATTTTTTCTATTTGTTCTTAAATAAATGATTGTAGCTGTGAGTATGGATCTGGAATGTAATTCTACAATGACCAGTTGGCTTCTAATATACTGGAGACTCAGATTACTAAGTGACTGTGCTTCACAGCTCAAAGATGACTTACCGATTTCCTTCTTTAAAATCTTCCTTTTTACTTTATACTACTGCAGAATGAAATGAGATGAGTAGCTACCAATTACTATCTTTGATATTTTTAATCCAAATAAAGATATTAATCCCATGAGAACTGCTGTTAATATTCATAATGCTTCTTGAATATTTTGTTCTCTGCCTATGGGATATAGTAATTAATTATTTTCTCTCTCTCTCTTTTTTAAGTGGTTCTGAGGTTCTGAACTCATGGCTTGCATTTGCTAGGCAAGCACTCTACCAATTGAGCCGTGTCTCCAGTCCATTTTTGCTTTAGTCATTTTTTAAGGTAGGTTCTCTTATTTTATTTATTTATTTAGCCATGGATAGGTCATGGCCCACAATACCTAGGGCCTCCTACGTAGTTGGGATCGCAGGCATGAGCTACCAGCTTAACTTCTACAAATAATATTCATTAAATAATCTTTAGAAAATGTAGTGGGGAAGAAAATTGTCACCCAACACACTCAAACTAAAGGTAAAGAATTTGAACACATTGTGAGGTTATCATATCAATCTTACTGGCTGGCTATGGTATTTGCCCTTTAAGAAAATGAACAAATGAATGAACAAATATTTGTTGATTCCTCCATTTCATACTAGCATTCTAATCCCATCTCTTCTAATAATTATGGATAATCTTTTCTTAACTCTTTCTCACACCCTTTTCTTTTTATGACTGATAGTAAAGTACATTTGAATTTGAATTTCTGGTTTCCAATCTCAATTTCTTTCTTAAAGGAAAGGAAATTTTTAGGCAAGGTAACCCTCCCTTCCTCTTTCCACTTACCTTGGCTCTGCCAGTACTCTGAAGAATGTGCACTAAGGCACATGCCAGCTCCTCTTTATTCCTCACACTAATTACTGGCTCAAGAACAGAACATAGCATGGTATAGTTGCTGGTGACAAATTCTGCAAATTCTTTATATTGCTCCATAGGCAGAATGGTGATAGTTTGGAAACGTGACTTAATTCGAATAGAAGGTCCTCCTGTCTTTCCTTTATTGGGTGTAGGAGTACTTACTGGATACCACTTTTCTACAAATTGGCGACCAGTCACACTGGCAGTGGGAATGTTGACTAGCCCTACATAATTATTCTTGTCCTTTTTTTTCTTTTTCTCCACATCCTTATAAATGTGAACTGTGATGCTATGGAGATGTGGAAGGCTGTAGAATTCAAAATGTTCACCCCAGAATATATTGTCAGCTTTGGTCTTGCTGGTTGTACGAGCAAAGAGGGTATCATCAAGGCACAGTTCACAGAAATATTTCTTTTTAGGGGCAAGATCCTTGGCTTCAATGATCCATAAACGGAGAACATTTTCGGCTCGTCTGCAATTGTCCTATAGAGGCAAGAAAGATGAATTTGAAAGCTGCTATGCCAGAAAGAGAACATTTTCTTATAGTGATGCTGATAATGTATTCTATTAAGAGGAGTCAACTTAGGATAAGACCAAGCTCTAACATTCTTAGAGAACCAAATATATTCTATTTTATTTGGATTAAAAATATTTTCTAATTTATCATATGGTCTCATTTTTATCATGCACTAATTTCTGACATGGATATGTCACTTACCTTTTCTGTATCTCCTTATTAACATTGGCACAATCACAACAATAGTCCCTGTGAAATTATCTCTCATTGTAAAATGTAATCACATGTATATAGAGGTTAAAACCATTAAGCTATAAACCAGTCACAGTGGTACATGCCTGTTATCCAGCACTTGCAAGGCTAAGACATGAAGATCACAAATTTTAGGCCAGTAAGGGCTACATAGAAATTTGGAAGGGAGCCTAGGCTAAACAGTGAGACTCTATCTCAAACCCAAATAATAATAATGTCAAAAAATCTGTTAAGCTCTATAAAAATTAAGATATTATCAGTGCATTTATCTTTTATTAACTTGCTGCTTAGATATATATTTTTTAGACATTCAAGGCTACTATTACCTTATTTGGTTGAACTGTTCTGCGAAGGTTTTCCATCCACTTATCTCTCTCTGAGGCAGAGTTACAGCTGAAGCATTTACTTCCACTTAAATAGGTGACCTATAACATAAAAATTAGGTATTAAAACATGGAAATGTACGATTAGAGGGTCTATGTTCCTAATTCTACTGTTAAGAGTTAGGGATATATTATGAATCCAAATTTTAAGTTTTGTTAGATATATATACACACACATACACATACACAGATACATATATGTATATATATATATATTAATCTGTTTTTTAAATTTATTCTCTAGGTAGAATCCACATTCATTCCCTGGTATGCGAACAAAAGCCACGGAGAATTTGTTTGCCTATGGTTCAGAAAAATTCAAGCTAAAAACTTTTCAGGCCACATCTTAAATTAACTGCAAATGAATATGTTCAATTCTGAGCTACTGAAAAATAACTGAAAAGGGAAGACCGTTTTTTCAAACAGTTTATTAGATTTCTCAAGACTGCCTTCACCATAATACTACAGAAGACTACTAAATGAAATAAAATTTATTGAATTACTGTCTTTAGAATTCATTTTTCTTCTACTAGGTAACCTGCTGCTGGTTTCCAGTTAGTTATTAGGTTATCCTGACAACTACTATCATTGTCCATTACAAATGAAACATGTAGCTCATGGACTTCATATGCCTAGCACTTAATGCTGGGTTTAGTACAAAACCTACTGAGCAGAGTTTCACAAATAAGGAAAAGTACAGGTGATTTTTATTAAAAAGAAATATCAAGAAGTAACTCAAATGATTTTTATTAAAGAGTACCAACACTACAGGTGGACCCATTGCAACAATGAGATGTACAAGTCATATGTCAAAAACGAACTTTACAACTTTGGTAGGGGGGCGGGGAGGAGGGTTGGGTGGGAGGGTGGGGGAGGATGGGATGGGAAGGGGAAACAAAGGAGGAGGCTACAATGCTTGATAAGAAATGTACTCATTATCTTGCCCATGTAATTGTAACCCCTTTGTACAGTATTTTCACAATAAAAAAAAGAGTACTAATACATGGCCTGCCTAAGTTGCTGAAATTTGTTCACATGTTAATTCAATCTCAGGTCATAATCAAATGATGAGATCTGCCTGAAATGGTAGTTACTAGCATCATGTGGCTAGTGAACACCTAAAATGTGGTAGCAAACTACCATGTTTAGGACCATGAATGGAGTTACAGAAATAAAAATATGGGCCTAGGTCAAGTATTATTCATGTGATAAATTAGAGTTCCCCCAAATAACATTAAAATTGAGGATATATTGCTCCAAGAGAAAAATAGTATAGTGTGTTATCTTTATTACTAAAACCTAAAGCATTAAAAATTAAAATATTAAAATGTTAAAAATTAAGATATTAATTTAGTAAGTTTTTGTTAACTTCTGCTGAGAATGTAGTAAATAGCCAACTATTTTTGAAAGCAGACAAAAGTAAGGAGACATTGTCATTAATAACTTTAAAAGAAATGTAATTAGATGAACATCTCCCAACTTTTTATTAAAAATACAAAACGTTCATCAATTGAAAATTAGCAATATAACAGTGATGAACTCTTGTTGATTATTCTTTCTATTTACTCTTTTTTTTTTTTTTTACCTCAAAGCAGAAGTCTTGTCCAAGGATGCTACTATGAAGCGGTTTCACTGCCACAGGCTCCCCTCTACCAAGATCCAGACATTCCACTGCACTGCATGGGCTCAGCAAGGATTCATGGGAACGTGACTCTTTTAGTTTGGGCAGCCCACGAGACCTAAAAGTAGAAGATATTTAAGGTGATGTTATCTAGCCAACAAAAAACTGAAGGTTTGATGCAATGGAGACTAACAACTGTATAAACATCTAAGGGGAAAAAATAAAAGGAAGAGCAAATTAATCATCTATAGCAATAATAGTATAATAGTCATATGGAATATATTAACTATTTATAAATACATATATGAACAGAAACACTTTTTTAAACTAAGCATAAGAATATAGTCTTAGTTCTGATGACCTTGTGTTATCATCAGGTGACAATTAATGCCTTGGGATTGTTTTTATTAAAAAAAAATACAGTCTTAAGGAAGCTCCAGCTCAGCTCCTTTATTTACTTATGATCTTGATATATGCAGTTCAAGGCCACGCTGGCCTTGAACTTGCACTTTTCCTGCTTCTGCATTTTATAGGATTTTAGGCATGCATCATAATGTCCAGCCTATTTAGACCTTATTATTATTATTTCTATATTGCAATAAGAAAAAATAAAATAATCTTATTCTTTACTTTAAAATATTGTCAAATATTTCTTATTTTTATATTCATGCTACAGTTTTAGCTTCTTATATCACTGACAAAATAGTAGTCGTTGAATCCTCAGTTTATTTCATCTCTGACAGAATACTTGTTTTTTCTTTGTTGTTTTATTTTTGTTTTTGTCGGTTGTGGGGCTTGAACTCTGGGCCTGGGCACTATCCTGAGCTCTTCAGCTCAAGGTTAGTGCTCTATCACTTGAGCCACAGTGCCATTCTCTGACAAAATACAGACCCACAGACACACACATCAAAGCTAATTTTTTCAGCACAGAATATCTCTCAAAAGGCTGATTTCCATTTCAATATGAAATTCTCCTGACAGTCTTTGCTTCTACCAATGCTTTACAGTACAAATGTGAATAAAGAACAAAATGCCCTCAAGAAACTTCCCACCGTGAAAAACAATGTCCAAACTTTGATAGAGAACAACGTATTAGATCTGTTGACACTGTTGAGACATCCTGGATGATTTTATTTCCTGTATTTTTTTTTTTATTTTAAAGAATCATGACTCATGTCACTATGGCAGCAGTAATTCACTGGCTTCCTCTTCAAAGAATTAATGGAGTCTAACAATGTGAAGCAAAGAGTTTCTGTATCCAGAACTGGTTGGCCATCCAGTTTTACTTAATGATCACAGTATTGATAAAATACTCAAGTTAAATACCTGTATTTCAAGAATAAGTACTTAGAAATGATGATAAAAAGAAATGCCGTGTAAAGACATTTGTTTTTAGCAGTTTTATTCATTTCCTTGAAACCAAGATAACATTCAAAGGAAATGAAGCACTTAATGCTAGAGCAGTACTTAGACAGTAATGCTGCATTCTAATGGTGTTTAATTAAACTTCATAACACAAGAAATATTTTCAACAATAATGATTTAACCGCTCTTTCCACACAAATACAAAAAAAAAACAACCACTATTTAAGTTTTAGGCTGAAAACATGTACTCTGATATTTCAGCAAATTTTGAAGTATGTTTATATTTATGTTTCCCATTAATAATATACAAAAAATGTACAAGAAAGTGTAACAATGAAATACCTCTACATTTATTTCCTTTTGTTCTGGATAAGACAATGACACGTTTGCAATTATATGCTGTAAATACTGCACATCAATTAAAAACAGCTAAAAGCTACTCTACTGTATCTTACAATATGCTATTTTGGAAGCCTTGATGAAGCTTGGGTGAGAAATCAAAGCACAATAATCTTTCTTAAACAAATATATAACAATTCTAACAAACATTTCTCGGGAAAAGTTGCTGAAGGGGAAACGCCTTGCAAGTTCTGGGATGAATCTCTCACAAGGAAAATCCAAAGCATATATAAAAAGGAGTTTCAACAAAAGGCTTACTTTTATTAAAAAAAGGTTAATTTTATTTCAAACAAAATAAATGTCTACCTACATGAAGCAACTGTATAGCCACCTGGTAGTGCAACCCCAAATCATAGCGGTGCCACATGTCCTGGAATAGCAAGTCACTTCCTGGACTACATTTCAGAAAACAACTCTCTGTTCAGAAGACAGGAACCAACAGAAGATGGTTTCCCTGCTGCCTTCGGTAACTGATATCATCTTTGGATAAATGCTTCCCAGGTGTTATTCAAGTCTTCGACAGAGCAGAACAGAAACACAAACAACAGACCAAGTCATCATCTTCATCCAAACCCTGCAGAATTGGTAATATTCCTTCTTTTCCTTCAGGCTGCATCTAGCCCCTCAGGTAACACAAACAAGGTTCCAGGGCTCTAGGCTGGGCCTGTTGCCATGGTGCTACACCTGTGAGGAGATTAGAGCTGGGAGGCTGCAGAGAGAAGCAGCAGCTTGAAGGACTCAAGGAAAGATCTCTGCAAACATGGCAAAAGTGACCATTTTAATCAGAAAGGAAAGAATGGTGAAGCCCTTGCTCATCTCTATTAGCAAATTCTCAAAAGTTATACCAAAGAAACCGGGAATGAAGGTGGATATCTTATTAAAAATTCTGTTATGAATAAATCTAAGCTTCATAGATACTAATTCCAACCATTCTGCCAGAAAGCATTTCATATACCTCATTTGCCATCTTTCCTATCTCTTCTGTTTCCTTTGTTAATGCTTAGCCTACTTTAAAGTTTCTAAAAATTATTTTATATAAAATTATCTGGTTTACAAATTTTCTTCCTTTTGAGATAGTTGGACAAAATCCCTTTTTACTATTGTATTTTCAATGCGTGCAGTGTATAACTCAACGGCTGCCACAAACAGGTACCACCTGGAATTGTAACTCTAAACTCTTCTTACTGAAATTTCCATTAATATATAGTTCAGAATTTCCCATTGGTCAGTTCTCTCTCTCTCTCTCTCTCTCTCTAGATATCTAGATCTAGATATCTATCTATATCTATATCTACACACACTAACGCACATGAACTGAAAGCCAAGGAAACTAATATGTTCAACATTCTAAATAAATAAGCAGGCTCTTCCTGTATGGAAAGAGTATCTCAGAGAAGACAGTAGTAATTCCCAGAGAAGCAAGATTACAGTAAACAGGAAGATCAAACAGACTGGGAATGGCTTAGGGCAAGAGGCATTATCTGTATAACTATTTCCATATAATGGCATTAGTAACCCCCAAGTCCCCTCTAAATCATGTTTACCTCCTCCTGTACCTTCATATGAATTGATTTTTCTTAGATCTACTAACTGTAGAGTTTTAGCAGGCCTATGGCACCACAGTTTACTCCCTTAATGGAAAGCAGAAGGTGGATTTATTGGGAGAATAATGAGTTTAAAACTTTGTCCAAGCCACTCTGACACATACTTTTTATCAAGAAACCTGACCCAGCCTTGAAAGTGGATATTGAATCCCTTGACTACTTGCCAGATTCTCTTCCTGACTGATTTCTTTCTTCCTAGACCATGGGCCCAAGTTACTATACCATGTGAGAATAATGTAGGGTTTCAATATAAATCTTTCTAGATTTGAGAATATGCTTTCCGAGGGCAATTTTACTCATAATCAAGGAACTCGGTACTCTCCACATTTCTCCTTAATGTCTGTGCACAATCTGTCTAAACTCTAGCACTGTGAAGGTAAGGGTTAAAATTTTAATTGCTGATGATTATCTGCTGCTTTTGACCTATTAAGGAAACAAATTATAAGGCAAGAGAGGCTTTCTGTTGCTCACTAGATCAAATGAGTATTGTATTGCTTCAGTCCTCATCCCTACCTAAAATCACTCTTAAAAGACGAATCAATCTTTAAAATCAACTGGGGGATGGGGCGCCAACTGATGTAACAGCAGATACATGATGAAGGAAAAAAAAGTCAAAGGACTCTGATTAGCACAATTTAAACACAGCACAGCTGGCTTTCCTCAGCTTATCCATCCAATTCTGTAAAAAGCCACATTTCCTCCACAGTTTCAATAATGCCTAGATATGCTAGCTCAATCTGCCACATGTTTACAGATTCAGCTCCAAATTTAGGAATTGGGAAACTTTTAATTAAAAATGCTTATTGCCACACAAAATCCAGGACTCCAGTGCAGGTGAGTTTCTGCTTGGCGTGGCAGTTATGGTTCCAGACTGTTTCACTGAATTCTTGAAAAGGACAGCCAGTAAATGCACCGATGTTTCAGCCAGTATGCATTTGTAAAGGCATTCACTTTCTCTGAAAATTTCCCGTTATAATTAACAAGATTCAGTATTCTAATGCTCTACCAACAAATGTACAGTTTTTTTTAAAATTGCATCATAGCTCTCCACTTGGAGAAAAATACTTTTACCTGTTCTCTATATGTAAATATTTTTTAATCAGGCATTTTATGAAAACATCCAGATGATATTTTCTTTAAAAAGTAAAATTTTCTGAATAGTAATTGTATAAGTTCTCCTCCCTGAACTAAAATTAGGATCCATTTATGAGTTTTACTTGTGATAGTAAAAAAAAGTGTCTTCCCTGAGGATCCTGGCAGCTCTTTAGCTTCAGGTAAAGCCAGTCCTGTTGCTTACGTTACTCACTGACCTTCATGTTAGCTTAAAATTACACTGTACACAGTGGAAGCACTATGTATACCATACATCTTCTCTTTCCCTGCCCCTGCTTCCAGAAAGTATGTTCTAATGAGTTAAGCTGCTGTCCAAGAGTATACAAAAGCTAGAGTGGCCACTTAAAATGAACAAACTTGCTAGGTGACGGTGATTTACACCTGTAATTCTAGCTACTCTGGAGGCTGAGATCTGAGGGTCATGGCTCAAAGACAGCATGGGTAGAAAAGTCCATGGAAGTGGAGCAGCAGTGGCTCAAAATGGTAGAGTGCTAGCCTTGAGCAAATAAAAAAAAGTCAGAGATAGTGACCAGGCCCTAAGTTCAAGCCCCATGACCCACAATAAACAAAGCAAAACAAAACACACTCAGGGCAAGGAAATTTATCTCAAAGGAAAAAAAAACAATACCCACACTGA